GTTTTAGTTCTTTATATATAATTTCTTGAAAACTAATCATTGATATTTAATTAATAATATGGTATAATCCTGAGAATTAATATCATATATAAATAAAAATTAAATCATGTTCAGAAGATTGTGTAATAGAAATTAATTATAGGTATAGACCTGAAATTTACTGTTTAATAAAGTTCTTAAAAGTCAAATCGCAACAATAAACGAATTTGAAATACTTGATTATGATTCTTTGATTTCACAATAAATTATTCAGGAAAAAAATGTATTATTTATTAATGTGATTATATGCATGTATTTAATAGTATTTGAGACAATCAAAACAATTATAACTCATATTTGAGTATTAAATATATAGAGGTTAGGATGTCACATTTGAATTTTCAATTTATTATGATAATTTTTCTCCATTTTTAAAAGGCTAAACAAAATTAAAGTTATGTACTTGTTATAAAATTAATAAAGTAAAGTAAACTCATAATTAATTTGACTCGTATCTAAAAAGACATACAATTATTAGTAAATTATAAGAAAAATAATTCTTCAATTAATACTATTATAATAGTATATTTACCAAAATTTAACATTACTAGAAAGATTTTACTTAGTTCTGATTATAATAGCTCATATTTACTTACTTTACTACCTAAAACATATTTGATCTTATAATTAAAACAAAATTAAATAAAAAAGTTGATGACTAAATTATTCTCAAAATAAAATTAAGAAATTTATAAGAAACTTATGCAAAATTAATAATTACTTTGCGGAAGTCAAAGTCTTGTAAGCTCTAATATTGATTGAAGTAGATTCTTTTATTTTAGTTTCCAAAAAAAATTTATTACAAGTGATTAAAGAATGAATTGAAATTTATTCAAACAAATATTTTATATGATGCATCACATTAATTGGATTGATAATACTAGTGTATTTTTATATTTAGAAATTAAAGAACAAAAGAAATAATATTAATATATTAGATATGATGATAAATTTTTGTTATAATTGTCTAGTATTAATAATAATCTGGCAATTATATTTTTCCACAAATAGTGATTTATAATGGGTATTTCTTAATAAAATATGTGTAATTAATAATAATTAAATCATTTTATAAATCATTAAAATTTATAATAAGCTTCAACTTTTATTAAATATAATCCTGTATTTCTTGTATTGCCTGCAGTATTATATATTCTAAAGGATCCAACTATTTAATCTGGAAATGTAATTGTTACTATGCTTTATGCTAAATTACTATCATAAATCAATGTTTCAGTATTTTCTAATTTTATAAACACTTTTATTGTAGAAAATCTATAATCTCCATCCCACAACCAGATTTTTAAAGTATTTAATTCATATTTTTGCATCAAATCTAATTATATGGAATACCCTATATCGCAAAATATGTAATCACAATTTGCACCTAATATATAAATTGCATTTCTTAAACAATTTCCATCATTACCTCCACATAACCAATTCATATTTTTCGATGAGATTAAATTTCCCCAATTTTAATTTAATATATTTTAATAATTTCCTCTAATAATGGATTATTAAATTTTTTAATTTATGCTCTAGCAATTCTAATGAGTTATCTAAATATAGTTAATAGTTAATAGTTAATATAATAATTAGGGTAAAAGAAGTCTTTACAAACATAAATTGATTAATTTAATTATTATTATTATAAAATACTATAAATTCAAATCAAAATTAAGTTTTCGAATGACTACTTTGTTAATTAGATTTATTTTATAATGCTAAGCTTTTATAAATGAAGACACCGACATTATTAGTTATATACATCACTGACTAGATAATATATTTTTTTTACTCAGAGATTATTTTTATAAAATTAATGATTTAGTTTAACTTTTACATTTAATCATTTGATTCTGATTTTCACATAAATTATAATCTAATTATTATGTTTTATTTTCTTTATAGTTGAATAGAATGATAATAACAAAAGCCCATATTAATCAATTCCTTTAAATAATATATGCACTCAATATAAATGACAATAAGGATGAGAGATGAAATAATGTAATCATAAATTCTATTAAGTTAGTATTATCAATTTTAGATTAGCAGTGCTTTACAAACTATAAGAACTTTGAAATTTCAACTTAGACTATTTGAGATAGGTATATTCGTGATCAACTCTTCTGCTTTCACAAAGACTCTTCTAAGATATGATAATTATTTTCTATTTAATTAGTCAAAACAATATAAAAGATCAAAATTTGTTAGATCATAACATTCCTTGATTCGAAATCTGTATGAGTCCCTTACATCACCTTAATTTATGCTTTTTTAAGTTCTAGTTAATAGATTCTGCTTTTTCTTCTATATTAATCACAAGGTTCTTTTAAACTAACATTTAATTCCTTTTAATTTTTAATCCAAATCGATTAAAATGTGAAAAATCTTCCTTAGTATTTTTTTAAGTTAGAATAAATATTCAAGTTAACACATTCAGATGTCAATTTTTATATTGAAGAAAACTTTTTACTACTCAAATAAATAAATAAAATGACAGATGGAATATATAAAAAAAAAGACTTAACCTTATTTTATATTTGGATCAATAGAATAAAAAATAAATTAAAATGCTGTTTTTTGGATATAAGGATCCATAAATTAAAATTTTTTAATAATTAAAATTCAAAAATTCATAAAAACTAGCATTATTAATTTGGGTGGATAGATAGTTTGATATACAAAATAAAGATTTTATACTAAAATTGATAAGAATGCTGTTGGATTAATAAATATTATTTTACAATTAATTTATTTCTAAAATTTTAGTTAAGGTTAGTTATAAAAATTAAAAAAAATATGAAAAGTGGTTAATTTTATGTAATAACTCTTATTCAATTAAATATGAATTAACAACATTAAAAATTTAGATCTATCATTATTTTTTCCCACTTCTTCTTTCCATTTGAATAAATATCTACAAGAGATTTTATTGAATATTCAAAATCATTAATATGAAAATGAAGATAAGTTGGATTTTGTGTCTCTTCTCTTTTATTAAAATTTGATTATCCTATTAAATTTAATATTTGAGTAAGCATTATTAAATAGACGAATACATTCTATATATGAATGATTTTTTTATGAAAGATTATGCATTATTTTTGGAATTTGGTCTAAATATAATCCATTAGGTTAAATAAAATAATTAGAACTTGATGGATTATTTGATTCCAATTTTTTTCATTTATAGAGTTTAACTTGGATAATCATCAAGTTTTTGGTATATTATATTATGACTGACTATTTCCTGAAAGTAAAACCCTACAAAAAAGTTTTAAGTTTCTCAACCAAAGATGAACAAAAAATTTATATAAAATAGAAATTAATCCATTTGAATATGAAAATGAATGTATTAAAATTTATTTTACTATTCTTCAGATTAAATAATTGAATTCATAATTTTAAAAGAAAAAAAAAACTATTGGAGGAGGTCTCATTTTATGTTAAAATAAGTTGAAATAAAACTAATAGAATTCAAATGTAAAAGAAATCTAAGAAGGGTCATTATTTTTATATTTTTCCAGTTTACATTTATAAGATTTATTAACCATCTTCTCATATACTCTAATAGGAGGAAGATATTGAATATTTATCTTAAGTTGAGTGCAATAATACAACTACTTCTGAAATATCAAATCAAGTTATTTTTGGTTAGATTAAAAATTTAATATTTCCATAACCATCATCATTGATTCATTTTTATTGGCTGGTTGGATTAGAATTGATAATAAGTTTTCATATCAATTTTTTTAAATAACCAAAAAAACTTAATACTCCAATTTAATTACCCTTTAAAATATCTCGAAATACTAATAAAATAATATTAACTCCTATAATTATCCATCTATTACTTTAGATTTTACTAATATAGAAAATGTACTCAATTCCTAAGCTTTAAGAAGTTTTTTTTTAAAGAGATTGGAAAAAAGATAAACATCGTGTTTGTAGTGTTAATATATTATTATAATTGAAGAATTTGAATTACATCATAAATTTCAAATTTGGCACATCTTGTTTGTTAATGTAAAATCGGATCAAATATTTATATAAATTAAATCTTTTGACTAAAAAGAATTATTCATGTTAAGATTATGATGGCCCATCAAATTTCGATTTTTTATCTACTCTGAAGCATTTTAAAGAATATATTGTATAATTAATTAGATGATTAAATTTAATTAGAACTGTCTATCATTTTTTGATTACTCATTTAA